GTAAACAAAATCCTGAGGTAAATCCTCGGGTAAAACTTTGCCCATGTTAACATCATGGTAAAAGTAAACACTAATAGTACTGGCAGTGATCTTGAGGTGATATCTGATGTCAAACATTAAGTAAATACCGAGGCAAACCTGAGGTAAACATTGAGGTAAAAAATTGGTAAAGCTCTTTGACAGTGACATCTGCGGTAAAGCTGTTGACAGTGAAATAGTGAGGTCAAACTCTTGACAGTGACATCTTGAGGTAAATATTGAGGTCAAACTCTTGACAGTGAAATCTTGAGGTAAATATTAAGGTCAAACTCTTGACAGTGAAATCTTGAGGTAAATATTGAGGTCAAACTCTTGACATTGAAATCTTGAGGTAAATATTGAGGTCAAACTCTTGACAGTGAAATATGCGGTAAATATTGATGCAAAATTCTTGACTGTGAAATCTGGAGGTAAATATTGAGGTCAAACTCTTGACAGTGAAATCTTGAGGTAAATATTAAGGTCAAACTCTTGACAGTGAAATCTTGAGGTAAATATTGAGGTCAAACTCTTGACATTGAAATCTTGAGGTAAATATTGAGGTCAAACTCTTGACAGTGAAATATGCGGTAAATATTGATGCAAAATTCTTGACTGTGAAATCTGAGGTAAAACTCTTCGACAGTGAAATATGCGGTAAATATCTAGGTAAAACTCTTGACAGTGAAATCTTGAGGTAAATATTGAGGTCAAACTCTTGACAGTGAAATCTTGAGGTGAATATTGATGTGAAATTCTTGACTGAAATCTGAGGTAAAACTCTTGGACAATGAAATATGCGGTAAATATTTAGGTAAAACTCTTGACAGTGAAATCTTGAGGTAAATATTTAGGTAAAACTCTTGACAGTGAAATCTTGAGGTAAATATTGAGGTCAAACTCTTGACAGTGAAATATGCGGTAAATATTGATGTGAAATTCTTGACTGAAATCTGAGGTAAAACGCTTCGACAGTGAAATCCTGCAGTAAATATTGATGTAAAATTCTTGACTGTGAAATCTGACGTAAAACTCTTCGATAGTGAAATCTGCGGTAAATATTGATGAAAAATTCTTGACTGTGAAATCTGAGGTAAAACTCTTCGACAGTGAAATTTAAGGCGAAATCATGAGAAGATAAAAAAAACCCCGAGGTTCATCGTGAGGTGAAAAAATGTGAATGGTGCGCTAACAGCGAGGTAAATCCTAGCCGAGTCGTGAGGAATGTTGCGCCAACCACAGCAGATCCCACTCCTAACGGTGCCACCCGCAAGGCTTGTAACTCCGTCAAACAGCGGCGATAATACGAAGACGCCCTGGCAATAAAAACAACAGCAATAGCAGTAATTAACACGGCTGCGTTCGTGTCCACCTGTTTACAAGGCGGCCGTGGTGACCTGTGGTTTTGGCCATGAACAAATGGGGCGGACATCTATGGGTATAGGGGCGTGGGGGTTGAGTCACAATGATAGGGGCATGGCAGAGGGTTAGGGATAGGTGTTATTTATGGCTTAGTGATAACATGGGTTAGGGATAGGGGCAAGGGGTAGGGATAGAGGCATTGGATTATGATAGGGGCATGGATTAGGGATAGAGATAATGGGAAAGTGATAGGATACATACTCTTAGTTCTTTCGGTAAAGTCACGTAGGTAAACAATGAAATTAAAATTAATAATAATAATAATAAAATCACTTGATGCAGAAAATCTGGCTGTGACGGTCCCACCTGATGACGGAGACTTGTGTTGCCTCCGAAACGTCGTGATTTTATTTTTTATTAATTTCATTTTTTACCTACGTGACTTTACCGAAAGAACTAAGAGTATGAATCCTTGCAGTCACGAAAGCTTCAAATCTAGAATTTAAGTGATAGGAGCATGGGCTGTACTGTTGGAGGACTATGAAAATATTTGAGTGAAGCAGCCGGTTGCATCTCGAGTTGAGAGCATCGAGCTAGATATCACTGTGTGTGCACGGGCACCATCAGCAAGGTGATGGAGTCAGGAGCAAGGTTATTATTTTTCGATTTAAAGCTTTCGTGACTGCAGGGATTCATCTTCTTGGTTCTTTCGGTAAAGTCACGTAGAAGGGAAGTAATAAAATAATAAAAATAAAATAAAACATAATAAAATATAATAATAAAAATAAAATAAAACATAATAAAATATTTTATTATGTTTTATTTTTATTATTTTATTACTTCCCTTCTACGTGACTTTACCGAAAGAACCAAGAAGATGAATAAAATAATAAAATAAAACATAATAACATATTTTATTATGTTTTATTTTCATTATTTTATTACTTCCCTTCTACGTGACTTTACCGAAAGAACCAAGAAGAAGGTTATTATTGGTGGGGCCGGGCGCCACATTTCCAAGGCGCACGGTTTTGGGTTGGTGTGAGCTCTGGCTGGGTGAAGAGGCAGGCTGATTTATTGGCTGGACTGCACTTGGAGCGGCAGGCCCGGGACTTGAGCCGGTTTCCGGCCGTCCCGCACCACTTGACGAAGCCGGCCGTGTGGTGGTTAACCGCGGCGCTCGTATACCGGGAAATGCCAACGGCTTTCGTTGTGTGTGTGTGTCTCGCTCGCGTTGTGTGCGGGCTGCTGGCGATTGCCCTCCCAGTCAAGAGTGTGGAGTTGTTTTATTTTCGAGAACACTCGCTAGGCGATGCGAATGCAAGACACGCACATTTGCGGCGGCGATGGTTGAGGTGGTGGATGGCTCTTGATGGTAAAATTCGATATCTCGGTTTGTAAACCTTAACCTTTCTTTCCCAGTTTGTTCGGCGCTCGGCAGTGTAAAGTGCAGGCTTCGGCTATAAAAGTCGATCGTTCTTTTTGCCGACTCTTTAGGTACTGTAAAGAATTGCCATTGCCTGAACCGTCAGCTTTGTGTAAATGTTTATGTTATAAGGCAGTGTGAATGATCTATAATTGATTAATGTGGTGCTCATAATTGAATTGTGCCTAAGAGCCACTGCTAGCGCAGTACTGCAATGTTTTTGTTCATTTACATATGTTTTTATGAATTTTCTGTACTTGAATACAATACAGTGGAATTATATTTCTGTAGTGTAAGGTTGTAATCCCATGCAGGAGTGAATCACGATACAGTACAGTTCCTTCTGAAACTCCAAACTCCACTGATTGGCAGTGTCACCAGAAGATGGCAGTACAACGGTGTGTTGAAGAACCCTGTGTGAACCTCTGCATGTTATCCCATGTGTGGTGGGTTCTTGTGCTTGGCGAAGGCAGCTGCGGAGGATGAGAGGTGACGGGCGTCTCGTGTGACATGGCGAGCTTCCCCGGCGTGCGCGCCACCTCCACGCCGCGCCCCCATAACGGCGCCCTCGTCGCTGGCGACCACGGGGATGCGTGGTCGCGTGACGACCTCCTGGGCGACGGCGGCGGCACCGTGGGCTCCGCATGGCTCGATCGCAGCACCGACCTCGGCCTGCCCAGCTTTGGGCAGCGCTTGCACGAGCGGGCGACACCGGTGGGCCCCTACGCGAGCCCCCTCCCTGTGACGGCGCGCTCGCTACCCATGGGGCGGGTCCCCGGCTCCCCCGAGCGCGACCCAGGCCGGCCCCGTTTTGCCCGTGCGGTCTCGGAGTCGGACAGCGAAGAGGAGGATGAGGAGGAGGAGGAAGAGGAGGAGGAGGAAGAGGACTACCTGAGTCCCCTCAAGCGGCATGCAAGGAGCGGCGCCGAGCGATACTCGCGGCCCCGCGCCGATGCTGGAGATGAGACAGTGACGGATGGCGTGGAGTGGCGGGAGAGCGCCGGTGTGGCCACTCTGGCGAGCGTGGGGGGAGAGGAGCGAGTGGCAGGAGCGAGGGCGGCACCCGAGAGGCCAGAGCCCGACGCAGACAGAAAGGGAGGGCCCACTCGGGCCCCCGTGTGCCGGCATGCGCTGGGCCACGAGGTTTTGGCGCGCTGGTCCGACGGACTCTTCTACCTGGGCACCATCAAGAAGGTGGCACCGCTAGCGTGTACAGCTCTCTGTGAGCCACTTACAGGATGACAGCGGAGAGTTGTGTGTGTGTAGTCACCTCACCCATGATGTGTGTGATCACCTCACCCTTACTGTGTCTGCGGTCGTCATCTCCACAGCCCGCACAATCTGACCTCGCGTCTTGTGCTGCCACCCTGGGCAGGTGGACAGGAAGAAGGGGAGCTGCTACATTACGTTTGAGGATCGCTCCGAGTTCTGGGTCCTGTGGAAGGACATCCAAGCACGTAAGTCATGGAGGTGTGAGTTTGGGGTGTGTAGGTCTGTGTGTGGGTTGTCAAACAGATACCGTTTAACCCGTCACTGTCCTCGCAGTCGAGGAACCGGTACCATAAGTCAGGAGCCGCTACCGGATTCCGGTGGAATGTCAGGAGTGAACGGTCCATTTGGCACGCACGATCATACGAACCGCACGACGGCAGCCCAAAGTCACCACGTGGAATATTTAACTCGGTTAAAAAGGTAAAGATGCAGCCCTGCAATTGCTTTCTGCTCGAGTCACTGCTGATGGAAGGGCCTCCACGAAAGCGACTTTTAGAGGTTATTTGGTCTACTCTTCCACCCTGACCAGACATCTTGGGAGAGGTGGGTGTACGATGTATGTTGAACTTCTTTTGCACTGTACGTAGCCAACCGTGGTAATCGGGGGTGCGATTAGCACAGTATTAACACTATGCGACCTGATGGTGAACCCATTTATACTGCTGTTGGGTAGACAGGTGGCAGGAGGGGGATTTATAAATCTGCCCCCATTGTTTCAACTGCCGCACCTGGAGGTGGAATCGATCCGTCGATCTCTGGATTCCAAGTCCATGCTCACCCTTACAACTACAACAGCTTCCTAGTGTGTGTGCGTGGGTGATTTAATTTGAGGCTGTGCAACAGGCGTTTCAAGATTGGGCTGACCTCGTGCTGCAATACAATTTAGATATAAAACAGTTAAAAGCTGTTGTGGAGCTAAGTTGTGGGCAGCAGAGGGCAGTGCAGAAAAATCCAATGTATTTTTATATTTTCCCACGTCTGTACTCCCCACCTCCACCGACCCACAGTGACTAGTGTGGCAAAGTTTCGTCGGATAACCCTCATGTACCGCACTGTGTGGAGAACCCCCTCATCCAGCAGTGGATTGACATAAAATTGGCCGTCTGTGTGGCCTGACCATCCTTGTTGACATGTGGCTTGGCGCCATCCAAATCAACGCGTGCGTGTGTGCGTGTATGTGCGCTCCGTGCAGTGGGGAGCCCCCCTAGCGGAGAGATGGTCTGCACCATATGCCAGGAGGGGTCGTCGGACTCTCCCAACGAGATCGTCATCTGCGACAAGTGTGGGCAGGGTAAGGGAGCCTCGTTCATGCGCGCTGCCCCGCAACCAGTGCCCCTGCGTCCCACACCCCGCACAGCCGATGCAGCGCGTGCCGCGGCATTGGCTTAGTAGGAGACTCGCATACAGCCCTACAAGCGCGTGGTCATGCCACTGAAAGCAGAAAGGCCTCCACTAGATCGTCAGTCCCAGCTCGCGAACGGTGAAATTCTTTACTGTAATTCCAAAAATACCGGCAGCACACCTGGAACTTTGCCGGTTTGCGAAGCGCTGCACGAGATGGAGCTCCATAGCTCCCTCTAGAGCTCCCTCTAGATATCCCTCTCGTAGATTGCATGTTAAAATTAGATTTTTTTGCTTGGATCAGCCATCTCGTATGTTCCGCCCTGTTCTGTCTTGCATTCATAAAACATGAACATAATTAGATAAACATTGATTCCTACATGCAAAATTCCAGACATGATTCCTTCGGGGGCAAGAACTGATTTGAATTGACAATTATTTACAAGCCCATTTAGATTTCATAATTAGTAGTGCTGTGACATGACAACTACAAATTATGTGAAATACAACGGAGAGCCATACTAAATCTCTCTTGACGGTTTTCATTCTTAATTGCTGTGGTTCAGAGTCTGACTAAGGCACCTTTTAGGATTGCTATGGCTCAGTGTTATTGGGTGAAACTCACAATGCCGGAGCAGCGTGCCTGCGGACAACTGTTTAGTTAATCGTAATAATGAGACAACCGGTGATGAGGGGGGTCTCCCCGTGGATTCGCGTGCGTTCCCTGAACGACGCTCCGTGCCCCCCCCAGGATACCACCAGCGGTGCCACATCCCCAACATCGACTCAGAGCTCATCGCGTGCGAGGCCTCCTGGCAGTGCCGCCAGTGCATCTTTGTCACCACTACCAAGGTGCTCCGGATTCCTCGCCACATTAATGGAGTTGGCTAAACATCCCAAACATGGGACCACAAAGCTTGGGAATTTGTTGGCTCCAGTTCATGCTTTATCTGTTGCCCCACTACAAATCCTACGGCGTTTTGAGATGCGATTTGCATGAACGACACCGCTGCTACTTGCAAAATAAAAAATACAACTTACATTATATGTTCTTTGGTTCTTTCGGTAAAGTCACGTATAAATAAAAAATAAAAATAATAGCATACGACGTTTCGATTGCAACACAAGCAATCATCATCAGGTATAATGAAATAGCGGCATAAAATCTAACCAGAAAAAATTATAGACAGACATATAAGCAGACAGATATCACCTAGATACACAGAGCGGGCAACACAGGTACAGAGAGGGGTGATCGTCTCTATTTAAGGCCACCCCACAGAGACGATCACCCCTCTCTGTACCTGTGTTGCCCGCTCTGTGTATCTAGGTGATATCTGTCTGCTTATATGTCTGTCTATAATTTTTTCTGGTTAGATTTTATGCCGCTATTTCATTATACCTGATGATGATTGCTTGTGTTGCAATCGAAACGTCGTATGCTATTATTTTTTCTTTATACGTGACTTTACCGAAAGAACCAAAGAATAATTCCTGCAGTCACGAAAGCTCCAAAGTTAAGATTACATTCTATGTGTGCGGTCCCCAGCGTGGCGGGGCGCTGAAGAAAGGCCCCCAGGCACGTGCGCTGCAGACGGTGAAGCTGACACGGCCGTACAGCCTAGAGGAGTTGGAGTGGGATGCTCAGCACCGCACCAACATGCAGCAGGTTTACTGCTACTGCGGGGGGCCTGGAGAGTGAGTAGGCGGCATGGTGGACACACGCGGGGAGAGACACGCGTACACACATATAAAGACAAACACAGATGCACAGAATGACACGTAGATACAACAACAGTGGCCTCCATTCACCACTCAGTGACAGCAATAAGCCACCTGTTAATATTGTTCTTATGATGCTTATTTACCCAGGAAAATGTCGTGCAGGAGGGTCCTGCCACTGTTTCTCAGTCAGGGTGATGTTGCTATGTGTAAGCCCAATTGAATACATTTCAGGTGATTATTCAGCATTGTGATCTTTGACCAATGTCAGTTAGTCTGTGTGTGTGTTTAGCTATGGGAGGAACCGAAAAAAACTCAGAGGAATCCCATGCAGAACTGGGAGAAAATATACAAACTCCAACAAAAACAACTGCCATTCGCTACTAAGAAGTGATGATGTCACCACAGCGCTTGTGCCAGGCGATGTGCACTTGAAAGCCACGTGAAGTGTCGAAGGCTCGGTGACAGAACAGACCCATAATGCCATGGGTTAACTGTTTGAGATGACTGACAGATGCACCACCTGTGCCTCCACTGTGAAAACTTGCGTTTTAGGCGCCTGGTGCGCCGCTTGTAGTTGTTAGCATGACTCCTCTGCCCTCGGTTGTTATCGGAAGATGACTTGCTTCAACTGCCCAGTTGTGCCCTTCAAGAACCTCTTCCACAGGCCGATCTTTACACCTCTTGTACCAGTTATTGGCAAGTCCGCTCATCTTCACATTCTCCTGTACCACATCACCCAATCTCTTGTGTAGCCCGTGCTGCGCCCATTTAGGCCCCTTTATCCAGCCAACACAGATAAGCTACTTGGGCATGCCGTGGCTGGGCATGCAGCCTGCGTAACCCAACCAACGCAGCCTTGCCTACAGGAAAAGTTCATACGTTCTCCAGATCACACAATCCAGTCTTGTTAAAGCCAAGATGGATCATAGGCAAGCCAGTCCGAATGTTTAAAACCGGCGCATATGTTCCTTTAGAGGGGTCCACGTTTCGCAATTATGGAAAAAGGACATAACTGACCGAGAAAACCCAAAGCTTTATATGGATCAACAGGCCTGGCAACTTCCACAGTGTTGTGAAGCTGATGAGAAGATGCCACTCGGCTGATTCAGAGCGAGACCTCTACTATCAAGCACGGGGCTGTGGTGAGCGTGCTGGTAACAGTGGTGGTGGTGTCTGTCCCAGGTGGTACCTGAAGATGCTGCAGTGCTGCAGTTGTCGGCAGTGGTTCCACGAAGCGTGCACGCAGTGCCTGGAGCGACCCATGCACTTCGGAGACCGGTGCTCACCTCACCTTTCTCACCTCGCTCACTCGCCTACCTCACTCACCTACTCACTCACCCCGCTCACCAAGCTCAGTCACTATACCTCACTTTGACACCTAAGTCACCGAACTCACTCGCCACACTGCGCTCAATCTTGGTCACCACACCTAGCTTCACTGCAGTGCACTCACCTACTCACTCACCCCGCTCACCAAGCTCGGTCACTATACCTCACTTTGACACCTAAGTCACCGAACTCACTCGCCACACTGCGCTCAATCTTCGTCGCCACACCTAGCTTCACCGCGGTGCACTCACCTACTCACTCACCCCGCTCACCAAGCTCAGTCACTATACCTCACTTTGACACCTAAGTCACCGAACTCACTCGCCACACTGCGCTCAATCTTGGTCACCACACCTAGCTTCACCGCAGTGCACTCGCCTAGTTCACCTCACGTCACCTCACGTCACCTTCATCTTATAGTACCTGCTCACTTACCTTGCTCAGTCGTGCTACTCTCACGTTCACCTTGGTCTTCTTGATAATGAACTCCACGTCTCCCCCGCAGGTTCTACCTGTTCGTGTGCTCCGTGTGCAACGCAGGACCAGAGTACATCAAGCGGCTCCCCCTGCGCTGGTGAGAGCTCCGAGCCTGCTACGGGGCGAGGCTGGCCCAGAGGCAGGCTCGATGAGTAAGGTCAGGGAGGGAGTGAGAGTCGGTGAACAAGGTTAGGGAGTGAGGTCAGAGTGAGGGTTGAAGAGTAAAGTTATGGAGGGAGTGAGAGTCAGAGAGATATAGTCAGTGAGTGATGTTGAGAAATGAAGGTCCAAACATGAGCGGGGTATGGGACGGTGAACTCAGGGAGTGAAGAGTCGGTGAACAAGGTAAGGGAGTGAGGTCAGAGTGAGGATTATTCTTTGGTTCTTTCGGTAAAGTGACGTATCAAGATAAAATAATAAATTAAATTAAATACTAGCATACGACGTTTCGATTGCAACACAAGCAATCATCATCAGGTATAAATTAAATAGAAACGCAAATCTAGTATACTCAGAAATATAATGTAATACAACAGAGAGTCGGATAACATAACAGTCAACACCCTACCTGGTTGATTACGTTCTTCCTGAGAATGCTAAATTGATCTCTCTCTCAAATTTAGCATTCTTAGGAAGAACGTAATCAACCAGGTAGGGGGGTTGACTGTTATGTTATCCGACTCTGTTGTATTACATTATATTTCTAAGTATACTAGATTTGTGTTTCTATTTAACTTTTACCTGATGATGATTGCTTGTGTTGCAATCGAAACGTCGTATGCTAGTATTTTACTTATTATTTTATCTTGATACGTGACTTTACCGAAAGAACCAAAGAATAATTCCTGCAGTCACGAAAGCTCCAAATTAAGTCAGAGTGAGGGTTGAAGAGCAAAGCTATAGAGGGAGTGAGAGTCAGAGAGAGAGATGTAGTCAGTGAGTGAGGTTGAGAAATGAAGGTCCAAACATGAGCGGGGTATGGGAGGAGGTGAACTCAGGGAGTGAGAGTTGAACGAGCAGGGTTGGGTTCTGGGGGTTGGTGAGTGAGTTCCAGAGTGAAGTGAGTCGAGAGAAGAGAGGGTGGGGTGTTGGATGGAGCGGTGTAGTGGTGTTGGGGTCGGGGTGTTTGTTGAGCCCCGATCTCCGTGTCCCTTGCTCTGACGTGGCCGCGTGTGCTGGCTTGCAGGGTGGACATCACGCAGCTGTGCATGTACAACCTTACAGTGGTGCACAAGAAGAAGTACTTTGACTTTGAGAAAGAGGTGATGCCGTTCGTGCATGACAACTGGGACAGCCTGCAGCTCGGCGAGGTATGTGTGCATGCGTGCGATGGGTATCGAGCAGTATCGTGGCGGTGAGCGCACTACGCTGCAAACGCCGGTGACCTAAGTTTGAATCGCGACCATGGCTAACATTTGTGTTGATTATCGGAACTGACCTTGGGCCTCTCCTTCGTCGACTCGTACAACTTATAATCATCGGCGCTGACGAGACAAAGGTGGCAGGGCGTGGCGCTGGCCAGACCAACCCCTCGTGCGCCGTGCCAGCCTTCATAGGCATCCACCAACAGGCTTTGCCCCAACAGCCTGGTAAGATATTCTTAGGTTTTTTCGGTAAAGTCACATAGGTAAAAACAATAAAAAGTATAATAAAATAAAAAATAAAAATCACGACGTTTCGGAGGCAACACAAGCTTCCGTCTTCAGGTGGTGATTTTTATTTATTTAACTTTTAATGTTTTTACCTACGTGACTTTACCGAAAAAACCTAAGAATATGAATCATTGTAGTCAGGAAAGCTTCAAATCTAGAATTAAAGCCTGGTAAGACTATTTTACAAGAATCAATGAAAACGTCGACCCTTCTGCGTGCAGGTGGAACCTTTCTCGTGCTGAAGGACAAAACGCAATGCAGACATGCATCTATTGCCTGACTGAGAGATACAGGACTAGTCTCGCGGAGTTTTCACACTTATGGCAATTCGTTTGTTTGTCACGATTGGGGTTGTCACGATTCAAGAATCTAATTTGTCCATTGTCACGTTCTATTAAGTTTTTGATTGCTTATGTTATGGTTAGGTAGTCGTGTAGGTATAATGTCGATGTTTTAACTACAACGCTAAATCAACCAGTAACAACCAATTAAATTGAGTTGTCACGTCATGGACAGATGTGACATTTTTAAATCCTTTATATTAAGTTCGCTTGCTTGCTTATGACCGTGCAAACCTTTCGGTCGTTTTTTAACCCACTTCCCGTGATCCAATCGAGCTGACATTTTGCACACAGACTCGTTGTGCGAGACAATTAATGTTCGTGAAAATTTTTTCCAAAATTTTACACTGTTTAGGGAAAACAAATTAAATATTTCATTACAAATTGTTTAATACTGGCAGACAATCATCTGACCCATAGGTGGCAGCCATCTCAAGCCAGAGGACGAGAGGACTCTAGCCGCCACGCATATAAAGGATTTATAGTGAGAAACTTTGTTTTTATGGGTTATACTTGTTTTTTCAGCAAACTGCTGGAATGTAGAAAATTGCAAGCAGAATTTTTGGCAATTGTGTACAAAACAACACTTCGCTGGAGATTACATCCAGCATTATCAGTGTGTTCACAAAAAGCTGAGCTCTCCTCACGTGAAAGAGTTTCCTGATCCAGGTCCTTAAGTAGGTGCTGTGATATAACCAGGAACAGCCATAATGCAGGTGAAGGTTTAATAATTAGAGTTCATTGTTGGATTGACAGGTGCAATTCACAATGCACCTTATGTACATTGAATGTATACTCTTTGTTTTTTTCCGGAAAGTCACGTAGTTAGAAATAAAATAAAACAAATCACGACGTTTCCATTGCAACACAAGTGGTCGTCATCAGGCAAAGGAGTCAGCCTCTAAAGTCAAACTGTTTATAAAGGTTTGGAGATGGGCGTGTAGCCCAAGTGTATCAACAGCACCAGGAGCATGGGCAGTGCATGAGTGCCAATGCAGCAACAATGCCAATGTAGCAGCAATGCCAATGTAGCAGCTATACACGTACTACTCGTATTGCAAGACCTCGCTCGTTTATCAAATTAATATTTATGTTAAAAATTTGCTCGTCTTGCAAAACACTCGCAGACCAAGCTACTCGCAATCCAAGGTTTTACTGTATCATGAATGATATTGGGCACAAAAGCCTTCATATCAAATCTGTGGGGACAGCCAGGAAGGGAAAGAGCAGGTTGGGTTATTTTGGGTGCTGCTGCGGTGGTGAGATGTTAACTAGGTCGCCTGGTAATCAGGAGCTCGTGGGTTCGATCCCGACCCTTATGCTCGTATATTTGAAGTTTGGGTGTCTCTCTCTCCGTGATCCCGCAGATTTTTCTCCGGGTCCTCCGGTTTTTCCCTCCACGTTTGATATCAACGTGCGTTTAGAGTATTTGGCTGCTATAAATGCACGTAATAAGCCACTTCGTTAAAGTATAATTTGTGGCCAGGTCGCTTTTGAAAAATAGCTTTTTAGCTCATTGAGCCTTACCTGGTAAAATTTAAATAGTTTAGTTTTTTTGGTGTCCTGTTTCTCCTGCTAAACGCAAATTCTGCCGGTTTGCCCGGCTGTGTTTGCAGCAGATGGCCGACACGACTCGGCAGAAGCGCTACCAGTGTGTGATGCACGCGCTCATCAGCAACAAGAGCAAGTGAGAGATGCCTCTTCTTACCATCTATTCAGCCGCTCAAACATGGTCGTGTGAACGAGTTGGTGGGACAGTCGGTGTGTGAGCGAGTCAGTATATGAATGTATAAACAAGTTAGTGTGTCGATGGGCGAGTGAGACCATGAATGAGTTGGGTGGATGGGTGAGCGTATAAGTGATGGAGCTAATGGGCAGATAAGTGAATGAGTTGGTGAGTGAGTGTTTAAAGGTGAGCATTTAAGCAAGTGGGTGGGTGTGTTAATGGTTTTGTACGCAGAGGGGTTGCGTCTGTGGATGAGTAAAGAGTGAGAAAGTAGGTCATTTGGTGGCTATTTTATTTGGTGAGTGAGTGAATGAGAAAGTATGTGAGTTAATCGTAGTGAATGATTTTTGTGAATGAATATATAAATTAACTTATGGATTGAAATCGGCCAAAACATCAAAGAATAGGACTAGAGGGCTTGGCAATTGTTGTCTGTGGCTATCCGTGCCCCAGTGCGAAAATCTCAGGAGGCGGCGGCATCACAGATTCTACAGCAGCGTTTAGATCTGCGATTTGCACGAATGATGCTGTATATAGATAAAAATTTGAAATCATAATTTCGATTTATAAAGCGCCCTCAAACAATTCTTCTGAGGGCACTACAATCGTACTCGGGGCGCTACGTGAGTAGTATGGTAGGTGTGCGGGTGAATGTGCGCTGGAGTGTGTCCGCTGCCCGATACCCGCATTGAATTGCGTCTGTTGCAGCGTGTGCGGCCAGTGGAGGGCGGTAGTGTAGTCGTTTGCGTGCTGCGCCACGAACTCAGCGACCCGGGGTTTGATTCCCGCTCACAGCCAACACCTTTGATGATTATTTGAACCAGTCCTGGGCCTTCCCTAGGTCGACTCAGCCTCAAATTAGTACCTGGTGCGGTGTGTGAACATTGGCAACGGGGAGACAAAGGCAGCCCGGCGCGGTGCTGGCCACCCACCCTCATGTGCCGTGCCGGCCTTCCTATATGCTACTCGCTAACAGCACTTGCCCCAACAGTCTACTAAAGGTTTACACGGGAGACCTTTGTCTTTGGCGCCACGTGCGTGCAGGTTCGTGTGCGGGCGCGAGATCAAGAAGAAGCAGCACCTGTACGGCCTGCGCATGCGCGTGCCACCCACTCCACCCTCCATCTCCCTTCCAGCCGCCCTGGGGTTCGCCGAGGGAGACGGCCCCCTCAGCCTCGCCAACATCTCCTACCCGTCCCCTCCTCGCCCCACGCGACGGTGAGAGCCCCCCCCACCCTCCCTACCTTGTCTCATCCCCGCCAAGACACCGTCGCGGGGAGGGGGCCACTGGGGTCCAAGCAAGGGTTGCCACACGTCCTGCTTTTTTGATGGGAATGCTCCCGTGTTGAAACAGCTGTCCTGGAAAATCTGTTGACTCTTCCCAGGACAAGCCCTACACTGTGTTGACTCACCACGCTGCAGGTCAACACTTCAATTTCTGCTTCTTCCCTCTCACTGCTCCACTTTGGAATTCCCCCCCCCCCCCCCATCATCATTGTCTCTTTTTCTCTCAAGCTCTCACAATAATGACCTTGCTCAGTTCAAGACAGATGTTACACTCTTCACCCATTACAACTCCTGACGCTTGCCACGCAGGCGCCGCCTGTCCGGCCATCCTCGCCGACCCGCGGCCAGAGCAGGGTCATCCTCGCTCACCGGACCAGCTGCCCTTGCAGCCTTCCCCAGGTGCCCAGCACGGGGCACGCTGCACTCAGTCACACACAAAGCCTACGAGGCACCCCGCACACCAGTACACAGCCCACACTCGACGCACGCCAGAGGTCGCAAACGGGTTTTGATTCCTTACCCATACCCGGCCGCACCAGGGTCGCAAACGGGTACCCGTACCCGGTTGGGTACGGGTAGCCGGGTATCGGGTAGGGTACGGGTATCGGGTACCCGGTTGCGACCTCTGACGCGCGCGTGTTTGCCGTTCTCCCCCCCCCCCCCCTCTTCTCCACCAGGACCGCCTTCGGCCTCGACTCCGTCAACCGGGCTCCGTCCCGCCTCAAGCGGGGGCTCGGGGGGACCGCACCCCTGCGCCGCTCCCCGCGCGTCCCGGGAGGCGGTTACCGTGGTGACGAGGGCCCCGGGGTCCCGGGCGGCGGGCTGGCGGGGGACGGGGACGCGGTGGGCCCGGGCCTGGGCGGGTTGCAGGCCTGCCTGTCCCGCCTGGCCCCCTCCCCCGGGCCCGCGTGCCTGGCGGGGGGCGGGGCCGAGGGCCGCGCGGCGTGCGGGGAGGCGTTCCGTGTGCTCGGCCGAAGGGTGGGCCCTGACGGGCGCGTGCAGTACCTGGTAGAATGGGCGGGCACCACACCCGGCTAGTGGGGGGAAGGGGGTGAGAGCGGAACCGGCCCTCGTTGTAGCCCCGGGCCCTGCTGGGCGAGAGGGCCCGGCTCGTTCGTGGCGAGCCGCGCCGGTTTTAATTTAATCCTGAGCGGAAATGAGATCAGAGGAACCGGCGGGTAAAGTCCAAACGAGCTTTAATGCTGAGGCGCTAGTGTTTGATTACCAATGATAAGAGGTGCGCGGACGGGAGTCTCACGTTGCCGGACGGTGTCTGTTGGTCTGCGGCTGGGGGAGCGCTACCCCCTCACAGCCCGTTGCGTGCCCCCTATGCGATGCGTGCTACCGCTAGACATGTGATGATCCACCCTCAGCGCCCCCCCCCCCCCCTCTTCCTCGCCTGCTATTCAATTTATTGGCGCGATCAGAGATCTGTCTCTTTCACTTCGATAGGCCCGCCTGCAGCGAGTTTGTCATTTGCAGAGATTCGCGGTTCGAATCCTGCAGGCCGTTGTGATTAATGCTGGCGTGTGTGTGTATTAATCGTAAAAAATACGCACCGCCATCTGCTTTGCAGTGGACGTTAAAAGATTCCTCGCGTCATTTGAAGAAGAGTTGGCCACTGCGGGCCATATTTGAAAAATCGCACGGCACATCACTTCAATGGGAAACGGTGAAGCCACTGGCAATACTGCCAAAAAATAAATGTCAGAGGCTTTCCTGGGTAAACAGACATCATAATCGTAATTAATAACACAAAACTTAATGCATGTTGCTGCTATTGTACTTTCCGTGCTTTCTGCGCACAACTCTTATACGAATCTGTTCTCGCACGTCGCGTGATGCTGCGTACATCGCGAGCTTGATAATCGGAATTTGACCACAGCTGCATCGTTACACACCTGCCGACCGAGGCATGCGTGTACGGCGTCGTAAGGCCGTAGCCTCGCACACAGAGTCGCGCACGGGGGGGGGGGGGGGGGGGAGCATGTACAGAGCGGACAGTCTATCCGCGCGTTGTGCAGCGTGGCTCAGCGGAATGAATGTACCCTTCGGATTATAAAATATACTGAGATACAGTTTATATACACGAGAGTTCTATATGTACGCCCCGCAAAGCCGAAGGCGCTCTTTTTTTTGTTATTAGATCCTGCATTTATTTGAGTTTGAATTAACTAGGGGGGGGGTGTTCCTCGCCGTGCCTTGTCGTTGGTTGCTACGTACGGTGTGAAAAGTTTCACGTAACGTACGCCGTGGCCTCGTTTCACCGCGCACACTTTAACCAAAAGCGTTTGACCCGGTGACCCCCACGACCCTGTTCTTGTATCTGGCCTCGTCTAATCCGTGCCCCGTCCAGGCCACGGTTACCAGGATGACAGCGAGGAGCTTGGCCAGGTCTCCGTTATTGCTGCTATTGAACTTTCTGCGCACAACCACCCCCCGACCCCCTCCTCAACCGCGTGCCCGCTCCCGTCACTGCCGCGCTGCCACAGACAAAGAAGAAAGTAAAACGCCTTTTGGCGTCATCTGGTCCAACCCATGTGAGACTAGGCTCTAAGGAAAGCTGTCTCGGGTGTGGACCAATCAACTCCAAGGACAGTGCACATTATCAGTTATGTCTTTTGTTTGTATTATGACTGCAGGTATTGTGGTCTATACAAACATGACTCGTTGTAAAAAGGTGTCAATTTTGTTGCCAGATAGAAGGGTAAAAAACAAATCATATTTTTACTGGCAAATGAGGTTCCCATAGTGCAACTCAAACATTTAAACAGCTTTAATAGGTCCGCGTTTAGGCTGCGCATCTCACAATGTTAAACACGAGCACTGCCCCGCGCATTTGCCCGGGGCGTAATTTCACCCTCGCCTTTGCTGCACGCGCACGTTATGGTAGGCGTTCGGCTTCAGGTGCGATGGTGTTGTCGCCGCATCATCCTTCAGCCCTCGAGGGCGACATCACCGAGGCAAAACGCCATCGGCGTGGGTTACGGGACTATGGTGTCGTGCCCAAACATAGGGTTTAAATTGAAGTCAATGGGAAAGGCACGTTTTTGGCTGCCATTAGTTTGTATTTGATGTTATTTTTTTTTATTTGGTGGGAGAGGGGGGGGGGGTTCAATGTTAATTGGGAGAGGTGACAATTTTGCGGCGATGTCCTCGGCAAGAGAAGCATTCGTCTTTAAATTAGTTTATTTTGTCCAATACACCGTACGCGAGGAAGCACTTAAGAAAGAGGCGGTGTGGGGCAATTGCCTCTTCTCACCTGTGCGTGACCCCAGCCGTAACGTCCTGGCCCTCCCCGATGCACTTAACCAGGAAGTATGGGGGAGGGCGGCGAGTGCCACTTGTGAGGGGAGTTGCCGGGGCCGGGCGATTGACAGGAATGGGGAGAGGTGGCACGAAGTGGTGGCTTCGACTGCAGCCTTGTTACTGAAAAACCTGGTTTCCACGTCTCCCCATTTAGCCGCGAATGATGTACGCATCACTCGCTATCATGGCACGGTAAATGTATTTGCGGCTCCTGGTCCCTTGTTCACGTCACGGTGACTCAAAAAGTCTGACAAATCGGTTAGAGCTCACGTCAAGAGGTCTAAAATTGCGTGTGATCGACCACAAGCGCGTTGCAGCCGGTACCTGGCTGTGACGTCGGCGTCAGTTTCGTCGTCTTTGAGTGAGCATCCATGATTTGGGCAGCGCGGTTTTGACTTTTTGAGAGGCCAGGGAAAAATGGGCTCCTTGCAGCTGTGTGATTGAGGGCTTGTACCAGAGCAGAATCTGTGGATAACGAGGGTTTGCATGTTTTAAAAATAATTTTTATGCTATTTGTCGGCTTTTAACGTTTTAAATTTCATATTTACCCGTCTTGTATCATTTATTTTGCGCGTTTCGGTGAAGTCCCATATTCATCTTCAACGCATCGTGTGGGTTTGGGTCCTTGGCCTCGTGTGCAGATCATCGCCGCTTTGGCGTTAGCCCCGTGTGTGAGCACGGGGGTGGAGAGAGAGCGGGTCCCCTGGGTGGGGGCTGCCCTGTCTGCCGGCCTGCAGGAGCCCCGTACATCCTACATTCCAGCCAGTTCATGGACCCAGTTCGCATGTTATTATTTCACTTGTATTGCCACCTGAGGTGACAGAACGTTCGTTGTATAATAAAGCAATGTATAATGCGTACATTTTCACGAAAAGGCAAATTCCCGGTCGTGACACGAAGGCTTCACGGAGCCAGGCTCAGTTCCTCATACGCCCCACGAAACAAATACAAGGCCTTCATCTGTCTTTTAAGTGTCGAATTTGATGCTGCTGCTGCGTGATGTGCAGCGGAAAAACGTCGATCTGCCAGAAGAGTCGTGGTTCGGCGGCAGGGGGTGGCGATCGAGTTGAGGGATGAGGTCCTTCGCAGTGCCTTGGGGTTGACTGACGGCCCCCTTAAACAATATCTAATGATCCTTTTAGATAGCGTCGTTCATGGAAATTGCATCTCACAATCGCTGAGGAGACAGACCAAGCTGAAAGGCTACCGGGCGTTGAGCCAGCTACAACAGTTGTTCTGCAGTTCTCTGTATATTAAGATGTTTTCAGCCAATTAGTGCTTATACATTTGGGAGGAAATCCACGCATGATAGGGGGCAGCACTATCCTAATCAGAAGAGACAGATAATGTTAGTCTACACTTTGCTGAATTCCAATCTGCATGGCACGCTGGGGTATTGACTCGATGCCCGTGAGAAGGGAGTTTGGCAACATTTGTCCGATCCACCAAAGCTCGTTTCCACAGTGTTTGATTAAAGGTTGACGTGCATCGCCATCACCGCCTGGCATGGGTTTTAAAGACGGCCAGATAATGTGGCCGACTATGGAGTATTATTAAGTCATCACGTATTCTGCCGAATCCATGCCGGTAGAACCAAACCCCCATCTCAAAGCCACGCGGACTGTGTTACTATTGTGCTCATACTAACGCAATCAGGGATTCATCTTCTTAGTTCTTTCGGTAAGTCACGTAGAAGGGAAATAATAAAAAATAAAACATTTTATTTGTATTTTATTGTTTTATTTTTATTTTTTTTTTAATTTCCCTTCTACGTGACTTTACCGAAAGAACCAAGAAGATAATGCAATCATTTCAATTTGTTTATATTGTTATGAACAGTGGTGGAAATGTGCCGGTATATGACCTTGTTTGCCAACCGGCACTTTTCAGAACCACACCAGCGCGACTCCGTACACCGAACAGGCCACGGCCGACACCGTTCCTCTTCCTCTGCAGAGGGGAAGCAGTAATGAAATTGGACTGCGGGACAAATGGGTTTCATACTGGGACGTTCCACCACTGCTTATAACCAATAGGTATGGTGTGTGAGCCCCAGACCTGTTGTAAATGTGTACAACTTGGGTGTCATAGTCCCTCTGGAACGAGATGGTCTATAGGGGTGACGGGGGCGCAGTGGTTTACATTCATGTCTCGCAACAAGAAGACCCTCGGTTTGATTCCAGATTCGGGCACATTTCTGCGTATGGAGTTTGTGTTCTTTACCACTGTTCCAAACGGGTTTCCTCCTACATGTAAATAATGTAACTGGTATTGGCCAAACATCCCAATGCTGAATAATGACCTGCAAACTTGGCAAGACCCTCTTTAAAAAAATGTTGAGACTGAGGCTTTCCTGGGTAAATGTACGTCGTAATAATAAACACGTGGCCAGGGAAGTGTAGGGGATTCAATTAGTCTTATTCTTAGGTTTTTTCGGTAAAGTCACGTAGGTAAAACAACACCCTTTTGGCCCAGCCCCCCCCTCCCTCCCGATACATTCCATTCATTGGCTACCACATTCTGATGAGCTCCCCCCTCTCCTCCCCCCTCAACTCGCTTTTAAGGGATTACATCTTGAATCATTGCCTCACTTGATGCAGCTAATCTGGCTGTGACGGTCCCACCTGATGACGGAGACTTGTGTTGCCTCCGAAACGTCGTGATCTTTATTTTATTTGTATTAATTTTGATGTTTTACCTACGTGACTTTACCGAAAAAAACCTAAGAATATGAATCATTGCAGTCACGAAAGCTTCAAATCTAGAATCAATTAGTCTTATCTGTCAAGACGAAAGTCTTGGCTTGGGCAGAACACACCACTCTATAAGAAGAGATGATGGACAAGACTGATGATGGAATGGCAGCCGAATGAGAGGACGACCACTGGACATTTGATAAACGAGAGCAGCCCATGCGCAGGAGATAGCCTTAAATCAGCAGTGGGTAAACCGCGAGTGGTAATGAACGTTCGTGGGCTGCCCGTGTGGGGTGGTATTAATGCCGTCTTTGCCTCGCGGACTAAGCTGCTGCTGCTGCTGACAACGCTAGAGCCATCGCACGGTTTAGCTTCTGCTGTTGAAGCAATGTTACATCTCCTGCACAATGAGCGGAATAAATATCTTCATTTTAATAGCTGTGGTGTGTGTGTGCGTGTTCACTGCGTACGTGTACCTTATGAACACGTATCTCAATCCTTCACACTCCGCGGTGGCAAGATGTTATTTCGCCACCGCGTTCCGATTATCACGGTTGGCAATGTACGGCACGAAAGAAGTTATACATATGTAGAGAAGTTCCGACGGACGTACTCGTAAACGGAGGTAAGTTAAGGGCTTCCGCCAGGGTTTATTAGAGCTGTTACAATATTACACAGCAGGGTGTACAACTCCCAGGGGCTAGGGGGATCCTACTCTGGAGTCCGGGTCCCTGCCGGCTAGCTCTGGTCTCTCTCTCGTGTCGGATCGGGGACTCTGCCGACTCCACCGAGCGGAGAGAGAAGCACCTATTCTTGGGTTTTTTCGGTAAAGTCACGTAGGTAAGAAATTAAAATTAATAAAAAGAAAATAAAAATCACGCTTCGGAGGCAACACAAGCTTCCGTCTTCAGGTGGAACCGTCACAGCCACGCTGAAGACGGAAGCTTGTGTTGCCTCCGAAGCGTGATTTTTATTTTATTGTTATTTTACTTTTATTAATTATAATTTTTTACCCACATGACTTTACCGAAAAAACCCAACTATGGATCCTTGCAGTCACGAAAGCTTCAAATATAGAGAAGCACCTCTACGGCTACCACCGGCTTCTCCCCAGACTCCCTATTCGATCTCTCTCTCTACCCACTGGTTCCCTCTTCACCCTGTTTACTTTACCCGTTCCCACAGTGACCCCGCTCCCGTCACGGGGTATCCCTTAAGTATTTCTAGATTTGAAGCTTTCGTGACTGCAAGGATTCATACTCTTAGTTCTTTCGGTAAAGTCACGTATGTAAAAAATGAAATTAATAAAAATCAAACAATAAAAATCACGACGTTTCGGAGGCAACACAAGTCTCCGTCATCAGGTGGATGCAGCAAATCTGGCTGTGACGGTCCCACCTGATGACGGAGACTTGTGTTGCCTCCGAAACGTGATTTTTATTGTTTTATTTTTATTAATTTAATTTTTTACCTACGTGACTTTACCGAAAGAACTAAGGGTATGTATCCCTTAAGTACCCTAGGAGGCGTGACGTCATCGCACTGAACGGCACACCTGACGTCATGTTCCCATTTTACTCCTCTACACATACATTTTCTTCGCCTGGTACTCGGGAGAATGTGAGTTCGATCTCGACCCTGACGCCTGTATTTCTGGAGTTCGCATGTCTCCTGTGATCGCGTGGATTTCGGTTTTTCCTTCAACACTAAGAAACACTGGTTTAGATTATACTGGTAAGAACCTGGTTACACCAGCCCACAGGGGATTATTGTGTCCGTCCGTCGTGCAGGGAGGGGCTGGGTGGGGAGGGAGGGGCTGGGTGGGGAGGGGCTGGTCACCCCGTGGTGCCCTTATAAAACTCAACGTTTCACCTACTCACGCCGGCTTGTGCCCGCCCTCACAGTCGGGCATATTTGCGGAATACACCACGCCGCCGTTGACCCTGGCCATTGACCGAGCAACCCGACGTTCCTACCAGCTCCCTCCGCAGGAATGTGTTCTGGCTAGACTAAATGGCCAACATCGATGTGTCGCCTCTGAAAACAAGCTAATAGCTCTGGGTTTTTAAACGATAAATAA